TTCCAACTCTACAGAAGAGAAATAAATTTTTTAAGGAAAAGGCTACACTTACATCTGCAATGGACAATCCCAGGTCAGCCATGATACCTGACTGGGAAGGAGAAGAGTAGCCAATCTGCAATACAATCATCACAGTTAAGATAAACTCATCAAACACCTTAAACTAAGTTGCTCGGACGCGGGCGTAGGTGTCCGATATGGGTTCGGATCTAGAGGTCGGATCCTTCGAGAAGTAAATTCTAAAATTCGGGGATACGGATCCTAGTACGGATATGAGTGCGAGTATCCGGCTAAAAATAATTCAAAAAATAAAAATATAAAAAATATCTCTAAATTAAGAGAAATTTTGGGGAATACTTATGTATAGCTTGTAAAGCGTGGATTTCTTTTTTATTCTCAAGTTGTAGATAAGAAAATGATTGATTTCCTAGATAACGTATGCTATTTTCTTCAAATTTACCCTAATTTTGGTTTTGATTTCGGAAATTAAATTGTATTTTGTCTCGAATTTTTCCGTCCGTCGTGGTCAAAGTTATACCTGTTAATCGGGCCGGGCTGACCCGTTTACAACCCGGGTAAGCCCGGTACTGTAGCGTGGGGGGCAGGCTGGGACGGGTTGGGCGGGGAGCGGATTGCAAACGAACAGTTTTTTGATACCGGTGCACCGGAACCCGCTAAGCCCGTTAACGGGTTTTTAACGGGCTACAGCCCGGTTTTTAACCGTTTTTTTATTTTTTTATTTTTTTTTTACCGTTGCCAACGGTCAAATTCAAATATGACCGTTGGCCAACGGCCCTTTTTTGCAAAAATGGCCATTTCGGCCTACCCCTTAAGAAAATAGCCCCCACACTCCTAATATTTGATAAATTATTTGATTTGGTCTACACTAGGGGAGCATCAACAAACCAGTAGCAGGAATATTGATGAACTTCAATTCTACTTGCAAAAGTCAGCAGAGCCCCGCACAAAGGAATTTCTACCACTGGGTTGGTGGAGGAGCAACTCAAATCAATTTCCTGTTCTTTCGGCCATGGCTCGAGACGTGCTAAATGTGCCGATTTCAACAGTCGCATCAGAGAGCGCATTTAGCCAAGCAAGACAACAACTATGAGATACCCGTCATTTATTGGGCAGCAACGCTTTGGAAATTCTAGTGTGCTTCAGAGATTGGATAAGATCAGAACGACAAAATCAAGGGCGTGACGAGGTAGATGAAGCGGAGAACCAAGAAATTGGAGATATAATGGTTTATGGTTCTGATTCAACCAATGGCGGAAACCAAGAAACTCATGTTGACATGGATGAACTTACAAAAATAATACAAAGCATGTGATGTACTATTTCTTTTTTTTTTTATAATTGTTGTAAACTTTTAATTTGCAAGTTCAAAAATAACAAAATCAAAAAAGAACTTGCAACTTAATTTGAAGTATTATATATTATTCAATAAAAATATCAAATGAAAGTCTTCAGAGCTTGATACTTACATATTGCCTATTGTTCTTATTAAATAATTTTTTGTAGCCACTTACTTTCAAATTTCAATTTTAAAATTGTAAAATTCAAATTTCAAATTTAAAACTTTAAACTTCAAAGTTTAATTCTAAGCCTTAAAAGTTT